TAATAGTTCGCACCTGCTAAAATGCATTACGTCATGGGGGTGCACGGCCGTGCGGGTGCACGAAATTATATAACCCTTAATATATATATTTTGATAATAAACCTATTGCTCATTCGTCAAAAGCAGATGTCGTTTTTATTTGGTTTTCTGCAAAGCAGAGAGATGATCAGGAAAAATTTACATTAACGAACGAGAATTAAATTGAGTTCGTCTTCCCAACGTGTATAAGACACTGTCTCTTCTACCGTTAGGTTATTGCATAATACACATATACTACAATTCCTATAGTAATGTCCAACCTAGAAAGAGAGTCTGCCAATCCAAGTAATTAGAGCTGATGTTGCTGTACATCATTTCTTTTTCATATCTTCTATAATCCCCGCAATAATACAAGATATGTGCCGGACTGAATGCTTTGTAGGTAGGCCATCAGCATCAAACAGTATAGACACTTGGCACTCTTTCACACTGTCACTGTCAAGTCTGTTAAAGTACCACTGGGCTGAATTTGTCACTATACCATAGATATATGATTGATGACTGTAATTCAACTAAAATTATTAAAAAAAATTAAATTTCAGTAATATAATTATACTGAGAGGGAAAAGAACGCCTAATTGTTGTAGTACTAAATGCCCCGACACGAAAGTTGGCCTTACCTCATATCCGACTTCGCATTCCACATAATTTTGGGCTCTTCCCATGGCAAAATCGTCCGCCTTCGCTTCAAGTAAAAGTATGATTTTCCCCTCAACCATCATCGCATATTCCACATTGCCGTTTGCAGGAACTTCAATTCCATTCAACTCATGTTCAAAAAAAATCTTGACATTCGTCACATGTTCTAAGACAGAGTAGCTTCAGAAAAAAGAACTTGATCAAGAAAAGACATATGGAAAGTCTCGGCTTTACCAGCAATTCGAAACAAGAACACGTCAATAAATCTCTCCCGCTTTCTCTCTTTCCCTGAAATCATCGAACCCAACAGAGTCACTCGCGCCTATTGATTTAAAGCCATCGAAAACATAACACGTTTCCCTAATAAATTTCCAGTTTACTCTGAACCTTGCTTTGCAAACCACAAAATTCGGTTGAACACTTGCCGTTAATTCCTCGAAGATTTTATCCATCACACTATCAGGCAGTGTTACAGATGGTGGTTTAAATCTACTAGGTCCATACTGATCCAGTCCAAACGCATCAAATACTTTAGTAGGAACCTTGCCAAATTCACTGAATGCTAAATTTCCATTAACTTTCAGTTTTTTGTTGCTTTCTGCGATTTCTGTCAACTTTTCAATTCGCCTTTTCCGTCCCACAGACGCAATACTAGAAATCGAATCTGAGAGAGAGGAACGACCTTTCATCCGAAGTAAAAGTAAGCAACAATAATCATGCAGTCAAGTAATATGCATAAAACCATTGATAAGCATAAGGGAAGTGCCAAAGCAAAAGTATAGGCAAGCAAATGTTAATTTTTCATAACCAAGTCATTACCTGTCGGCGGTGCTGTCATATCGCGAAGCTTCTCACTCCAGTCGAGAACCTCCTTTTCCCAGTCATCTCTCCTTTTTTCCAACCTCTCTTTCTCCTTCTCTAGTTTCTCCTTCTCCTTCTCCCACCTTCTCTGTTCCGCCGCAGTTCCCTCTCCCCTCCGCAGCTTCCCTCTTAAGTCGTCCAGCCACTTCCCACCGTTCTCGTCCTCC